GTACAGAAATTGGTTGCATTTTTATACACCAATAATGAAGCAACAGAAAGAGATATCAAGAAATTGATCCCATTTATAGTTGCGCCAAGAACCATAAAACAACTAGGAATAAACTTAACCAAAGATGTGAAAGATCTGTATACTGAAAACTATAGAAAGCTTATGAAGGAAATTGAAGAAGATACAAAGAAATGGTAAAACATTCTGTGCTCATGGATTGGAAGAATAAATATTGTTAAAATGTCAATACTACCTAAAGCAGTCTACACATTCAATGCAATACCTATCAAAATTGTACCAGCATTCTTCTCAAAGCTAAAACAAACAATTCTAAAATTTGTATAGAACCACAAAGGACCCTGAATAGCTAAAGTAATACTGAAGAAGAAAACTAAAGCAGGAGGCATCACAATCCCAGACTTTAGTCTCTACTACAAAGCTGTAATCATCAAGACAGTATGGTATTGGCACAAAAACAGACACACAGCCCAATGGGATAGAATAGAGAACCCAGAATTGGACCCACAAATATATGGCCAACTAATCTTTGACAAAGCAAGAAAGAGTATCCAATGGAAAAAAGACAGTCTCTTTAACAAATGGTGCTGGGAGAACTGGACAGCAATATGCAGAAGAATGAAACTAGATCACTTTCTTACACCATTCACAAAAATAAACTCAAAATGGATGAAGAACCTGCATGTGAGACAGGAAACCATCAAAACCCTAGAGGAGAAAGCAGGAAAAAACCTCTCTGACCTCAGCCGCAGCAATTTATTACTTGACACATCTTCAAAGGCAAGGGAATTAAAAGCAAAATGAACTATTAGAACCTCATGAAGATAAAAATCTTCTGTACTGCAAAGGAAACAATCAGCAAAACTAAAAGGCAACCAGTGGACTGGAAAAAGATATTTGCAAATGACATTGGATAAAGGGCTAGTATCCAAAATCTATAAAGAACTCACCAAACTCCACACCTGAAAAACAAATAATCCAGTGAAGAAATGGGTAGAAGACATGAATAGACACTTTTCTAAAGAAGACATCCAGATGGCCAACGGACACATGAAACATTGCTCAACATCACTCATCAGGGAAATACAAATCAAAACCACACTGAGATACCACCTCATGATGGTCAGAGTGGCTAAAGTGAACAAATCAGGAGACTATAGATGCTGGAGAGGATGTGGAGAAATGGGAACCCTCTTGCACTGTTGGTGGGAATGCAAACTGGTGCAGCCGCTCTGAAAAACAGTGTGGAGGTTCTTCAAAAAATTAAAAATAGAACTACCCTGTGATCCAGCAATAGCACTGCTAGGAATTACCCAAGGAATACAGGAGTGCTGATTCATAGGGGCACATGTACCCCAATGTTTATAGCAGCGCTTTCAACAATAGTCAAGTTTGGAAAGAGACTAAATGTCCAACAACTGATGAGTAGATAAAGAAGATTTGGGGTGCCTGGGTGGCGCAGTCGGTTAAGCGTCCGACTTCAGCCAGGTCACGATCTCGTGGTCTGTGAGTTCGAGCCCCGCGTCAGGCTCTGGGCTGATGGCTCAGAGCCTGGAGCCTGTTTCCGATTCTGTGTCTCCCTCTCTCTCTGCCCCTCCCCCGTTCATGCTCTGTCTCTCTCTGTCCCAAAAATAAATAAACGTTGAAAAAAAAAAATTAAAAAAAAAAAAAGATTTGGTTTATATATACAGTGGAATACTACTTGGCAATGAGAAGGAATGAAATCTGGCTGTTTGCAGCAACGTGGATGGAACTGGAAGGTATTATGCTAAGTGAAATAATTCAGTCAGAGAAAGACAGATATCATAGGTTTTCACCCATATGTGGATCTTGAGAAACTTAATAGATGACCATGGGGAAAAGAAGGGGAAAAAATAGTTAAAAACAGAGAGGGAGGGAGGCAAACCATAAAAGACTCTTAAGTACAGAGAACAAACAGGGTTGATGGGGGGTTGGGGAGAGGGGAAAGCGGGTGATAGCCATTAAGGAGGGCATTTGTTGGGACAAGCACTGGGTGTTGTATGGAAGCTGGTTTGAGAATAAATTATATTAAAAAATAAACATCAAAAATTTTTTTAAAAAGTATACTTGGTATGCTGTGTATTTTTTTAAATCTGTGAGACTTAAATAGTGGCCTAATGTATTGTCTATCCTGAAAAATGTTCCACATGCACTTGAGAAGAATATGTATTATGTTGTTGGTGGACTGTTCTTTAATGTCTTAGATCTAGTTGGCTTACTGTGTTATTTAAGTCCTCTATTTCTTCTGTCTATCCTTTATTGTCAATGGAGTATGAAGTCTCCAGTTATTATTATGGAACTATTTATTTTTCACTTGAGTTCTGTTGGTTTTTGCTTTGTATACTTTCATGATCTGTCATTATATGCATAAATTCATAATTGTTATATTTTCTTGCTGTATTGATCCTTTTGTTAATACATAATATCCTTTTGTTTTTGTAACATTTTTTGACTTAGTCTGTTTTATCTGATATGCCATATTTGTTCTCTTTTGGTTACTTTTGGCATGGAAAATCTTTTTTTCCATCCTTTCCATTTTAACTTACTTGTGTCTTTGGACACAGCTAGTAATTATTAAATTTTGGTTTAAATTTTTAAATTTTAATTAAAAGGTTTTTTAATGTTTACTTATTTTTGAAGGAGAGAGAGACAGAGTGCTAGCATGAGAGGGGCAGAGAGAGAGGGAGACAGAATCTGAAGCAGGCCCCAGGCTCCAGGGTGTCAGCACAGAGCCTAATGCAGGACTCAAAGTCATGAACCGGGAGATTGTGACCTGAGCCAAAGTCAGATGCTTAATCGACTGAGTCACACAGGCACTCCTAATTTTATTTTTTAAATTTATTTTAAATTATTCCCTTGAATTGTAGAGGAAACAAGATTTGGTGTTGGAAACCAAAGTTATAGTAATAGCAGCTTTTACATTAATAATTGCTTTTTCTTCTTTAAATGTAGTAGTCTCTTAAACCTGTTGGAAACAAAAAGTGTAATTACCAACCATTGCTACAGTAATACTAGGTTTTGTAGTCATACATGTGTTTACTTTCTTGAGCTCTTTATTTTTCCATATGGCTTTGAGTTACTGTTAAGTGTTCTTTCATTTCACCTTGTAGGACTCTCTTGAATATTTCTTGCATGACAGGTCTAATGGTCACAAACTCTCCCAGCTTTTGTTTATCTAGGAATGTCTTATTTTCTCCTTCACTTTTGAAGGTCACTATTGCCAGATATAATATCTTCGATTTGTCTTTTAGTACCTTGAACATATCTGCCTATTCTATCTGGCTTCTGAAGTTTCTGATAAAAAAATCTGCTAAAACTCTTATTGAGGATTCCTGTGTCTGACAATTCACTTTTCTCTTGTTGTTTTTAGGAATCTCTTTTTATCTTTGGGTTTTGAAGGTTTGATTATGTCTTGATGTGGTTTCCTTTGAGTTCCTCTTTCTTAGAACTTATTGAATGCTTATATTGATGATTTTAATCAAATTCGGGAAGTTTTCGGTTATTATTGCTTTAAATATTTTCTCTTCCCCTTTGTCTTACTCTTCTAGGATTCTCATAATGTGCATGTTGGTCTGTTTGCTGGTTCATAGGTCTTTTAGGTTTTGTTCGTGTTTTTTCAGTCTTTTTCTTTTTTTCTTCTGTATTTACCTGAGAGTTGATGTTTCCCATTGTTTTGTCTTCAAGTTTGATAATTCTTTTTTTTTTTTTTGCCTGTTCATATCTGTCACTGAGTGTCTCTAGTGACTTTTTCATTTCAATTATTGCACTTGTCACTTCCAGAAACTCTTTTCAGTCTCTATTTAGTTTTTCTTTTTCTTTTTTGAATGTATTGGTTATTTTCCTGATTTTCTTTATGTCTTTAGTTCTTTGAGCATCTTTAAAAGAGTTTTTTTTAAGTCTTTACTATAAAATACTCCATTAGTTCTTTTTTAGTACAGTTTGTTGTCCCTCTCCCCACCCCACCCCTTGAATGGGCCATATTTCTGTTTCATTGTATCCCTTGTAATTTTTGTTGTTGTTGTTGAACACTGGGTATTTGAATCTTATAATGTAGTAATTCTGGAAATCATTGTCCAGATTAATTCTTCTTTAAGGTCTGCTATTTTTTGTTTTTGTTATTGTTCTTTTTGTTTGTTGTAAGCCATCTCTGTGCTAATGATCAGCCTGAGGTATATAATTTAAGGTCTCTCGCATCTTTTCTGAGCATTTCCCTTGGCATGCATTGTCACTTTCTAATTTTCCTTGTATATGCTCTTGTTTTTTATTGTCTTGACTGTGAAAAGGAGAAGGGGGGAACAAACAGTAAGAATGGAAAGGAAGGGCACGAGCCTTTTAAATTCCCTGCAAGGCACGTCAGCTGAGAGGGAGGGACTTATAACAGTAGGTGGAGGTGTATTACCAATGACTGTCCACCTCTTTACCTGCACTTCTGTGATCAGAAGCAGTAGTCAGCACTCAGCAGAGATCACTGATATTTGGAGGACTAGGTCCTTTTTGTCCACCCCAACTCCTGAAAATTGTGTAAGCTGCTCTAGCTAGGAACATGTACCCGGCTGCTTACTTGCGATCTGACTGAGGATGTGGGGATGGACAGGTGCTGTTGTACTTAAGAGCTGAAGTTGACAAAATTAAACATTTCAGTCTTTCCCTGAAGTTGTAAGCCTTCCACAGACTCTACAGTTTGATTCTGCCAGTACAATTTTTGCCTAGGTATGGGAGATAGATTCCTGCTGCTTCTATTCCACCATCTTTCCAGAATTTTCAAATTAGATTTTAAAGGCATTCCTTCACTGATATAATTAGCTGAGGTAATTATTATGACATTTAGCATAGAGCTGCAAAGTTACTTGTTCTTAAGTAGTAATTTATGTGGTCATTTTATATCTAGTTTTGTAAACTATAATTATTAATGATACTTTTCTTTTGGTTTGTTTTTATGTGTTTTACTGTTTATTTTTCAGTCTCAGCCAATTGGACAATGGCAGTTTGGGTTTTGAAAAATGTCTGAAGGTTAGTGGGCTGCATCTACCTTCTGCTTCCTCCACACCCCTTTTAAGAGAATAAATGGAATATTTGAGAAGAGAGGTATATTAAAAGAAGAGTGTTGCAAATGGCTTCAGAATCTGTGAATGCAAAACAAGTTAGGAATCACTGCACAAAGGGGAAAAGGCAACAGCACCAGCAAATAAAGAATAGGTCTTCAATTAGTGATGGTGATGGAGAAGACTCTTTTATCTTTGAAGCAAATGAAGCTTGGAAAGATTTTCATGGTTCCCTTCTTCGGTTTTATGAAAATGGAGAACTGTGTGATGTCACACTAAAGGTAAGACTTTTCTTCTTTTTCAAACTCTTTATTGTATTATGAAAAATGAGGGTTTCTATAACCATAGAGGGTGAATTTTTGGTATCATACTTGTTATAGTCAAAATGATTTTAGTCTCAATCCTTTTTTATTGAAGGTGAAAGGATATAAAGGAAGGTGAGTAAAGGAGGATTAGCACAAGGTAAACTTGTACTTATTAAGTATTAATATTCATTATTTCATAGTTAATTTAACTTCTGAGAGTTCTGGACCTTACAACAACAAATAGTTATTATTACTGAAATTAATAAATTGCTGTCGACCAGTAAGCTTTTAACTTGTGTATTTAAAAATCCTAGTATACTCACTTACTCTTAATGTAAGTTAAAAGTTAGGAATTCTTGGTTGTTTACTCAGCTGCAGTAGTATTTTAGTACATGTTCCTATTCTGGTAATTTAATCTCTACTTTAAAACAATGGTCTCTTAAGTGAGATTCTCTATACCTGATAATGAAGTAGAATCTATTTAGACTTGGATGAAAAAGTGTAGTAAGTTTTAAGTCTGTGGTCTATAGACCACATGTTGTGTTATTCTGCTGCAAAAGACAGTTTTAGTAAAATTGGAAAAGTGATAAAACAGTGTGGAAGTCTAATTGTTCCTCATTACTTGTTTAAAGTACTTTTACTATTCTTATATCTCAGTGTAATATTAAATTTTTTTTTTGATGATTCATATGTATCCATGAAGCATTTTCCACATTTGATTTGCCACTTTGGGATCTCTTAAATTTTGCTTTTGCTTTTGCTTTTGCTTTTGCTTTTGATCAGACAGCTTTTTAAAGCTGAGTCATAGGGATGGAAAGCATACTTGAAGAATCAGACCAGAGAATACTCAACAGGAGTCTATAAACTGAAAGCATAAGCTTTGAATTTTAGATCCAGAATGTCCAGGGGTATAGTATTATACTGTGGATAAATGAGCTGTATTCTCTTTCCTTAAACTGTTACTGGTTTTATGTATTTCTAGGCCCTAAGATTTTGAGAAGAAAACCATTATATAATTCTAGCTCTGTGTGAAATTTAGCTATGTATATATATTTTAATGTAGAACACTTAAGTTCTCTTGTTCTGTATGTATATTGTTTAATTTTATGCCATTGCTCTAATTTTTAACCGTGGTGTGAAATTCAGTGACCCACACTGGCTTTAGCAAAAATAAAAATGTAAAATAGATTGTTGGAATTCAGCTATCATTCAGCAAATGGAAAATAATTAGAGTATTGATTTTATAAATTTTATAACTGAATTTTAGAATAATTTATATAACATATAACATACTGCGTATAGATATTAAGTGAAAAATAGGGATATAGCCACTTAAAGACAACTCATAACTTTGTTTATTGTGTAACTTTAGCAATAGATTGAAATAAAAACTCCCAAAGAGTCAGTGGTTGAAAATTAAAATACTATGTTTTAAACACTGACAGGGGCGCATAGGTGGCTCAGTTGGTTAAGTGTCCAACTCTTGATTTCTGCTCAGGTCATGAGCTCGTGGTTCATGGGATCTAGTCCCACATTGGGCTCTGCCCTGGCAGTGCAGGGTCTGCGTGGGATTCTTTCTATCCCTCTCTTTCTTCCCTTTCCCTGCGCATTCTCCCTCTCTCAAAATAAATAAACATGAAAAAAATTAAAAAAAAAAAAAGTAAACAGTGACATGAGAAACACTTCATTAGGCATGAGAATCACTTCAGTAATTTAAAGGGACCATCATTTTTATTTTTTCATCTGTAAAATTAGAGTGATGATTAGGTTTTTGTGAGGAATAAGTGAATTGGTACAAGTAACATCCTTATGGCAGTGCTTGGTACATAATAATAAGTATCAGCTCTTTGGATCATTATGTATACTACTATAATAGTTCCAAGAGTATCAGATAATTCTACCTATTGTGTATTCTGTTCCTATTCATTAGAAAGTGTTACAACTTAATCTCTTAACAGGTCTCTTACTGGATTTGTTTCTTAATTCTTTTTTTTTTTTTAATTTTTTTTAGCATTTATTCATTTTTGAGAGACCGAGAGAGACAGAGAATGAGTGGGGAAGGGGCAGAGAGAGAGAGAGAGACACACACACACAGAATCACAAGCAGGCTCCAGGCTCTGAGCTGTCAGCACAGAGCCCAACACGGGGCTCAAACTTACGAACCGTGAGTTCATGACCTGAGCTGAAGTCGGACACTCAACCGACTGAGCCACCCAGGCACCCTGTGGATTTGTTTCTTAATTCTAATTCAACATTTCTTCAACTGTCAGAATTTAACTGTCATAGAACAATTAAGTCAAATAGGATTACAGATAATTCATAATGCCCTGTTCAACATAAATTTCACTTTTTATATTCATCTAATCTTAAGGATTATTCTCTGATATAAAGTCATCCCCTATTTTTTTTTTTTTTAATTAGTATGTTTCCTTTGACCATTATTGCTTTTAAGGCAAACATTTTAGAAAGACAGTTATTGGGGCGCCCAGCTGGCTCAGTCAGTGGAGTGTGCAACTCTTGATCTCAGAGTTGTAAGTTTGAGCCTTTGTATGTAGAAATTACTTAAAAAGAAAATCTTTAAAAAAAAAACAAACCATTATCCAAATATATTTTATTGTCCATATATAAGGTCATTAGCCAATTTTAAAATTCCAAAATGAGCACTTATATTGGAAACAAAAAAAAAAGTTTATTTAGCAGATACTTACTAAGGTCTTACCCTAGTATATGGAGAGTATAAATAAATTTGAGTAATATTCTGTTCTTGCCTTGAGGGTATTTGAAATTTATCCAGAGAAAGGCACATACACACCTAACTATAATATAATTTAGTGATTATCATTTTTGTGTTATTTTTATGGCAGCATAGGAGAGATCTATGAATTATGCCTGAAAGGTGATTGGAAAGGCTTCACATAAGAGATTATTATCTTGAGGTCATTCCAGGGAGAGGTGAAATTTGCTTATATATTTTCTTTGTTTATTAGGGAAAAATTTTATTTTTTAATTTATTTCTTAGATGTTTATTTTAAGAGAGAGAGCACAAACAGGGGAGGGGCAGAGAGAGAGAGAGAGAGAGAGAGGGAGAGAGAGAATCCTAAGCAGGCCCCACTCCCAGCACGGAGTCTGACATGGAACTCGATCACATGACCCTGGGATCATGACCTGAGCTGAAATCAGGAGTTCGTTGCTTAACTGACTGAGCCACCCAGGTGCCCCAGTGGAAACATTTTAAAGAATATATCCAGGGGCACCTGGGTGGCTCAGTCGGTTAAGCGGCCGACTTCGGCTCAGGTCATGATCTCGCGGTCCGTGAGTTCGGGCCCTGTGTCGGGCTCTGTGCTGCCAGCTCAGAGCCTGGAGCCTGCTTCGGATTCTGTGTCTCCCTCTCTCTCTGACCCTCCCCCGTTCATGCTCTGTCTCTCTCTGTCTCAAAATTAAATAAACGTTAAAAAAAAAAAATTAAAAAAAAAAAAAAAAGAATATATCCAGTAGCAGGTCTAAAATTATATAGGGGGAAAGCTTTCTTAAGGGCAGCAGTTTGGTGATAAAAGACAGGGGAATTTGTCTTGCAGAGGTTGCATAGCACTCATGCTTAAACCATGTGTTCTAGGTCAACAAAAGTAACGTTTACAAAGATGCTTCTACTTCTTTATGATAGTTTGAGGAAATGTAATTGTTTTTGTTAAAGATCATAGTTAAATTTTACTTGAAGAGATTAACAGAGATTATTAGAGGAAGGAAACCCCCTAACTTGTTGATGCTTCCACTGAATAGTTTTATTCATATTATTTGGCTTCTTCTTTTTTTTTTTTTTTTTTTAAATTTTTTTTTTTTTCAACGTTTATTTATTTTGGGGACAGAGAGAGACAGAGCATGAACGGGGGAGGGGCAGAGAGAGAGGGAGACACAGAATCGGAAACAGGCTCCAGGCTCTGAACCATCAGCCCAGAGCCCGACGCGGGGCTCGAACTCACGGACTGCGAGATCGTGACCTGGCTGAAGTCGGACGCTTAACCGACTGCGCCACCCAGGCGCCCCGCTTCTTCTTTTTTTGAAAATACATGTTTCTTTGAGTTTTTAAAATAAACATTTATAGGATTTGGATAAATATTTTCAAGATTGTGTTATAATTTTTTGGTGTCAAACTTCCAAATGACCAGGTAAGAATAAGTACTCTGAAAGATTGCAGGGAAACAAAATATGTGAGCTGCATTATAGTACCATACTTCCAATAGGTAGAAATGATAAAATTATTATCCTTATAAATGTAACAGTTAACTCCTGATGGGAAGGCAGACATAATCTAATGAAATGATAAATGAGAAGGTGATTCTGTCTTTAACACTTAAGCATTCTATGTTAAGCTGTCTAATGAATGTTCATCTTTCTGACATTCAAGTAATAAATTGATATTTTAACTTGTTTCATGTTGCTCAGAAGGTGTATTTAAATACTTATATTAGTAGATTCTTGTTTATTTGACCCCTAAAATGTTATCCATCGTTTCCATTGTGCAGGTTTTTCTAATGAATGTAGTAAGATTAACCAAGATTGTAGCATAGTGAATGTGGCTAGACATTATAATGTGATAATTCACTACATGTAAGCCAAACTATCTTGGTTTTGTATATCTAACCCCTTGACCTTGGCTGTAAAATGCTATTTTGACTATTCAAACTGATTAAAATTGGTGGGTTATTGAAAAGAGTAGCTAAGAGGTTAAAAGGACAAAATTAACAAGGGATTAAAACTGAGAAATTAGAATATAGCTTCTAAACAAACATAAAAGACAGGCATTTGGATTTTTTTCTTCCACTCTATTTCTGTCTCACTGTTTGTCTTCTGCATTTTTATTTCAGTGTAGTTCTCAAACACTTAGTTTTAATTAAATGGCATAATTATGAACATTTCAAACTAATACACTTTAGTTTTTGTTTCAATGATTTAAAAACAAGTTTAGTGTATTTGTAAATGATTTTTAACAGTCTGTATTAATGGGATTTTACAATTAATACTTAGAAGTAAAGTGAACCTATGTAATAACAACTAGTTCACAAAAGAATAGTTACCAGAATGACCAAATGTTAAAAAAGTATTAAGTATTAAGGGGGCACCTGGGTGGCTCAGTTGGTTAAGCATCTGACTCTTGATTTCAGCTCAGGTTATGATCTCACAGTTTGTGGGTTTGAGCCCCACATTGGGCTCTGTGCTGACAGTGCGGAGCCTGCTTGAGATTTTCTCTCTGCACCTCTCTCCCTCTCTCTCTCTCTCAAAAAAAAAAAAAAAAAAAAAAAAAAAAGAGTGGGTATATTATCTATAATCACTTTGATTGGGGGTGTGATTGTGTGTGTATTAAATATTCAAGTTTTAGTTTATTGAATCAAGAAATTAAAATAGAGTTGTTGAGGAACAAAGTCTTATGAACAGTATGAAAATAATTTGTGGACCATTGATTTGTACAGTTGGGGTGAGAAGGTAGTGTTAAAATAATGTTTATCTGGAAACTGTAGAATTATGTTTTATGTAATGGCATGTTGGCAAATTTAAGCAGATTTATGCCATGTGAGGTTTACAGATATTTGCATAGAAACTAAATCTCAATGGTGGCATGTGCAGAAAATTTTAAAAAAGGATATTTTCAGCCTGTTTTTAAAATGCTTAATATCAGGGGGCGCCTGGGTGGCGCAGTCGGTTAAGCGTCCGACTTCAGCCAGGTCACGATCTCGCGGTCCGTGAGTTCGAGCCCCGCGTCGGGCTCTGGGCTGATGGCTCAGAGCCTGGAGCCTGTTTCCGATTCTGTGTCTCCCTCTCTCTCTGCCCCTCCCCCGTTCATGCTCTGTCTCTCTCTGTCCCAAAAAAATAAATAAACGTTAAAAAAAAAAAAAAAATTTAAAATGCTTAATATCAGATTTCAGATCCCATTTTAGGGCTTAAGTGAATTTGAAAACATGCCAAACTTTCTGCTTTAGTATAGGGTGCAACTTGAGTCTCAGTAAAATCTGAATCCTACCTGTGGATTCTTTTAAAAAATTAAATACAATATAACCAACAGAGATGATAATCTTGTATTTGTTTGTTTTGTTTGTTTTGTTTTTATAATGTTTATTTATTTTTGAAAGGCAGAGACAGAGCATGAGCAGGCAAGGGGCAGAGAGAGGGAGACACAAAATCCGAAGCATGCTCCAGGCTCTGAGCTGCCAGCACAGAGCCTGACGCTGGGCTCAAACTCACGAACCACGAGATCATGACCTAAGCTGAAGTCAGCCGCCCGACTGACTGAGCCACCCAGACGCCCCATAATCTTGTATTTGTTGAAGGGATATTCATTTTTCCTCCACATTAGTGAGAAAAGGTCAAGAGGAACATTTATAAACAAAAGCATTTATTATACATTGTAATACTCCTCAGGCCTTTTTCTTTAGAAGTTCTCATTTTAAAATTCATTCCCAAATAATGAGACACAACTGTAAGTGTATTACATAGTCAAAATGCTACATGAAAACAGGAATATTGGTAAAACACTAGCCTACTGTATTTAATTTTCTTTTTTAATGTTTGTTTATTTTTGAGAGGGAGACAGAGCATGAGCAGGGGAGGGGCGGAAGGAGAGAGGGAGACACAGAATCGGAAGCAGGCTCCAGGCTCTGAACTGTTAGCACAGAGCCTGACATGGGGCTCGAACTCATAAACTTTAAGATCATGCCCTGAGCTGAAGTTGGACACTCAACCAACTGAGCCACCCAGGTGTCCTGTAGCCTACTGTATTTAAAGATTACCTAACACAAAGTGCTAAGAAAACTGGGTAACTACTGCTGTGTTAATAAGGAGATAACTGGTACTCAGTACCAGAACTTCCAGATGGAAATAAAGGTGTATGTATAAAACATAAAACCCTAAAAATACTAGAATACGTGAAGTTAATGTGTTTAATATTAAGCATAGCATCTAAGGCAGAAATTATAAAGACAAAGATTGGTTTGATTGTGTAAAAATCTAGAGGGGGTGACTAAAAAAGCACACCATAAAAGAGAAAATTTTGAACTAATATATGGCAAACGACTCACACTCTAAATATATGAGGAGTTCTTACAAAAACATAAGAAAAAAATCATAGAATAAGTTTATAGAAGAGGTAAAAATAGCCCAAAATTAATGAATGATTTGATGATATTAGTATAAGATAAACTAAAATAGATAATATTTTCATGCATTAAATTAACAAATACTTTTTAATAAGTTAGTACTCAGAATATGGCACAAATATTGTAGGGAGATCAGAGATGGACAATTTAGCAGTCTGTATCCCAAACTGTGCCTATCCTTTGAAATACCATTTCTTTTTAGGATTTTATCTGTAGGAAATTAAATAGAGTGGGAATAAAGTTTCAATTACAGCAAAACTTACTACATTGTCACTTACAATAGCAAACTATTGACAGTAGTGTAATTTTTTAGGAAATAAGGTAAAATTTTAGTGTTTAAGTTTGTTTATTTATTTAGAGCAGAGGAGGGACAGAGAGAGGGGGAAGAGCATCCCAAGCAGGCTCTACACTGTCAGTGTGGAGCCAATTCATGGCTCAGACTCACGAACTGTGAGATCATGACCTGAGCTGAAATCAAGAGTTGGACGCTTAACCAGCTGATCCATCCAGGTGTCCCTTCATTATTATTCTGTTTTTTATATTATTTCAAAATAATTTAATAAGGAATGAAAACTTTATTTAAGCTCATAGTAAATACTACTAAATAGTGGTCTGTTTACTTTGTGCTTCAATTTTCTCACTGATAAACTGTGGTTATATAATAGTGCCTACTCATAGGGGCATTGGGACAATTAAGTGAGTTAAGTAATATGTGAAAAGCACTTAGAACAGTGCCTGACATGACGACTGTGGTTGATAATACTGTGTTGTATATTTGAAAGTTGCTAAGAGAGGAAATCTTAAAAGTTCTTGTTACAGGGAAAGATAAAATTCAGAATTATGTGAGGTGTTAGATGTTTACTAAACATTGTGGTAATCATTCCATAATATGTACATACATCAAATCATTATGTTGTTTAACTTAAACTTACATAATGTTAGATGTCAATTATATCCACAAAACTGGAAAGCTTTTTTTAGAAAAGGGACTCACAGACCAAAAACAAGAATAGTGCTCAAGTAGTGCTAGATGATGTATGCTGTTCTTCTTCATTCACAGAATGCTTCTGAAATTTGAGATTAATACAGAAAATCAGCTTACCAAATATACATTGTGGATAGAAGTGTAGAAGATAAGGGGCTAATCTGGAAGAAGAAAGTTGCCTGACTTTAAGAAATTGCCCTACATTGGGGCGCCTGGGTGGCGCAGTCGGTTAAGCGTCCGACTTCAGCCAGATCACGATCTCACGGTCCGTGGGTTCGAGCCCCGCATCAGGCTCTGGGCTGATGGCTCAGAGCCTGGAGCCTGTTTCCGATTCTGTGTCTCCCTCTCTCTCTGCCCCTGCCCCGTTCATGCTCTGTCTCTCTCTGTCCCACAAATAAATAAACGTTGAAAAAAAAAATTAAAAAAAAAAATTGCCCTACATTAAAATAAGTGACCAAAGGATTACACTGTTAAACAAATACACTAAATTTGTGTGAAGTTTTTGTTCCTGCTACAACAGATGCTCAATGCTGATGTAAAACTGATTTTGATATTAAACTGTCTCCTTTTGTTTGTTTGTTTTGAACAGGTTGGCTCAAAGCTAATCTCTTGTCACAAACTAGTATTGGCTTGTGTTATCCCTTACTTCAGAGCCATGTTTCTCTCTGAAATGGCTGAAGCCAAGCAAACACTGATTGAGATCAGAGATTTTGATGGTGATGCAATAGAAGACTTGGTAAAGTTTGTCTATTCTTCAAGGCTCACTTTGACTGTTGACAATGTCCAACCTCTTTTATATGCAGCCTGTATTCTACAGGTTGAACTGGTGGCTAGAGCTTGTTGTGAATACATGAAGTTACATTTTCATCCCTCCAACTGCCTGGCGGTAAGAGCCTTTGCAGAAAGTCACAATCGAATAGACTTAATGGACATGGCGGATCAGTATGCCTGTGAGCATTTTACTGAAGTAGTGGAGTGTGAAGACTTTGTGAGTGTGTCACCCCAGCATCTCCATAAGCTTTTGTCCTCCAGTGATCTAAATATTGAGAATGAAAAGCAGGTCTATAGTGCAGCCATCAAGTGGCTTCTTGCCAATCCTCAGCATCATTCCAAATGGTTGGATGAAACACTTGCACAGGTAGGGGCTGAAATAGGATTGTGTATAGAAATGAAATGATATGGAAGCAAATTAACATGTGTCATTTATCAAGAAAAGTGCAGACTACCCGAAGGAATATAGAAATCATTGTGTAATATGATGTGAAAATGGCTTTCTGTTTACTTTTCTGTTTATTCACTATGCTATTTAAGGATAAGTCTGAATTGCATTTAATTAGAAATATCATTTTTTGCTTTTTAACCTGAATGGGTTTCTTGTTTTTAAAGTTTCTTCCTTCCTTTCTTTTCTTTCTTTGTTTCTTCCTTTCTTTCGTCCTTTCATTTTCTTTCTTTCTTTCTTTCTTTCTTTCTTTCTTTC